TGGACCCCCACCGGTTGATTGTTTAATTGCTGAGTATTTGCCAACCCTACGACTCGCTAAAGTGATACTTCCGGTATACCTAAACATTCACCATTGACACAGCAGCTGTTTGTCTATTTTGTGGCTTTCGCGAATCAGGGTTCCATATATTTTTTGAGATACTGGTTTCCCAGTCTGAGCTTTCGCAATCCTTTCAAGCTTGCTGTGCTTGTTTTGACTCAAGGCGATGAAGCGGGCTTGTATACAGGCTGTAACTGTAGTATCTCCTACAGGCAACAGACTTTTTTCTCACGGATAAAGCCACCAATAAAGTGCTCTTTCCACAAATCAGCATTGCCAAGGAGCGGTCGTCTCTCCTTATCTGCGGGATACAGATTGAGCTGGATCTTCAACAGGCTGATGATATCCTCACGTAATTTCTCATACTTGCAGGGCGAGCACAACCTCGTTGGCGCACTAATGTTTTATTGGCAGACAAATCATGGACCTCAACCAGCTCTGCAGCTACAGTGTTTGCATTTTTCTTGCGGGCCGGCCTCTGTAGCCCCGATAGGCATTGTTCCACCGTAAAATTCCATTATTTTTTCACCCCTCATATCACTGTCAAAGAACAGCTAATCGCTGAAGTCCTAGCGGATTTTACCGAAACCAGACAACGCCTGTAGGGGAAGCTGACATTCCCCTGTGATTCACGACTAGAGGATAGGAGCGGAGCAGCTGCGTCGAACCATGCAGCATAACCATCTGTAACGCTTGTTCTACAGTGTTTATATAGGGGCACTTAACCCCAGACTTATCACAGCTTTGATAAAAAGTTACTTAATGTGTTCTGAAAGAACTTCCACCATCCAGTGCCCGTGTCCCTCAGAGCGCGTGACATTAGGAAGAGCTAGGATAAGTGCCACTGCACCCTTTAAGAAATCTGATCATTCATTACTCGATTACACGTCGAACCCAGCGCACACGCAAACAACACTGCGTCTTAGGTATCGTACGAATAGTATTGTGCAAAAAGAGCTACGCGAACACTCAATTCAGTCAGTAAGCTCTTTGATGGCTTCTGGATAAATACAACTAGTCTAGTGAAAAGTTTAAAAGCGTAGGTGAGCCCGTTATAAAGGTGCCGCTCTCTTGTGCTGTACAAACAAATTCTGCCGTGTGGGGGATAGGACCGAGAAGCTCGTTCATGCAAAACTCCCTATCCTCCTGTTCTTTTTAGCAGGAAAGCGTACAAAAGCTACCTCAGAAAGTCTAGACTCTGTGGACATGTGCTGAAATAAAGAGAAAATACGACACCAGGTGTGAGTGCAAGTCTGGCTTCAACTTACCAGAACTTTAGAGATTGTAGTGTGTGTGGCAGACCATTGGCTACCACAGTATGGTCTTAAAGGCGCTTTAGGAGAGGCAGAGGCAAAGGGAGAGACACATAGGGGAAATCGCCCGAGTAACGCTACGAAGGGGATTCGATCCCAGCCTTTATGGGTTTAGTATGAGTAGTTAGTGTGTATGAACGCAAAATACTCTTAGCACACTCCCATTAGATATGTCGGCGAAGAACTGCTTCCTTCTGGCCGCGGCATCGTCCGCGCATCAGTGATTTTTGCCTTATCAGGTGCAGCTGCCGCTGTCGGAGGGTGGTCTGGTCAGTGAGGCCAACGTCCGGGACAAAGCATTGCCCATGCTCTTAGATCGCAGATCAAAATAATAATTTTTTATTTTGAATTCTATCCTTGATGAGGCAGATCACAGAAACAGGTGGCATCCCGCCTCTAGTATGATGCACCCTTCCCTACCACCGCCCATTATGGGGTGTGGCCCTGAGCCGCGTCGGTGATGCAGCGAATGGGGACATACACATGCACTATTCTTCTTGAAATCACCTTTTTGCACACAGTTATTTTTTGTTGTACCACATATTTCGCAGCTTGTCACCTCTATGCCTTTCTGGGCAACGGAGAAGCCTCGCGGGACTCAGACAGAAAGAGAGACTCCCAGCTTGCCCCTCGCGCGCCTCCACGTTGCTGTATCTGCAGGGGTCCACTCACTGAACCCTAGCTCCGTTATCCGTGTAACCTAAGAAATCTCACGAGCTTTAGCCATCACCGGCCACGGCTTCGTATGGGGACCCTGAAATTAGCAGTGCCTTCTTTCGACACACTGGGCCCCTTGCTGCCCCATATTGCCCCTCAGCGACTGCCTACACAACGTAGGCAACAAGCCAGAGTCTGCTGTGCCTGAAGTCCATCCTAGTATCCCAGCGGTGCCTCAGCTACTTTGGCAGCGATCGTGGGCTGTACTACCCGCTTCCCGTGTCTCCGTGCGAGGCTTTCTTCCCCTGCAGACACTCCTTACAGTGGCCTCCAGCAGGCCCTCCTCGCTCCTTCTCATCAAGCCCTCCTTCGTCTCTTTCTGTCACCAGGCCCCTCTCCAGGCACCGTCTGCAGCAGTGCCCGTGCACCAGGGTTCCCGGTTTTCCGCTGCCCGATAGTCAAAAGGGCCAAACTACAAAGGCCAGGCCATCATCAACATGAAGTCCACGGCTCAAAGCCCGTATTCCTTGCAAAAACCTTCAATAAAATGCTTGGAGAACGCAGAGGCACTCAATTCGGCTCAGTCAATGGCCCTCCAAGTGGCCACCTGCGAGACGACCGACTTGAACAGAATCAGTAGCAGCAGCTACAATAGTCAAGCATTCCACGCCCGGCTCGTACCGCTTCCTCATGGCATATGTGGAGCCCCCCATCCTGCAGTGGTTGAGAGGCGTGCGGATCAGCTCTCGCAATATATATCTCAGCTTAAAAGCTGTTCTATAACGGGCAAACGGCACGATGGTTGGATTGATCTCGATGCCATGCCCGTGCCTACGGCGGAGGCATCAGGCTACATAAAAAAGGAGAATAAACGCGAGTCTTTGCAAGCTGCCTCTAAACACAACAATGGTGACAGCGATGCCCCCGTGTTGCCTGGCGGTATTTTCGTATCGAGAGGAACTCTCCTGCAGCGCTGTCACACCCAGGAATCAAACTTACTCGACGTCAACGGTGCAGGTGTGAGAGTGCAAGTGCAGCTACTACAGCAGGTCTTGAGTTCTACCATTCCTAGACAGGTGTTTGAGCACTGTTACCGCCTGGGGGTCCCTGAGGCCCCTGACGTTGCGCGAGCGCTTGAAAAGAAGAGGATCCAGAACGCACTCCGAAGGGTTAAGGAACATCTAGAGGTAAGTAACAGGGCGGGTGCGTAAAGGGGCAAAATATGTGTAGCAATATTCACACGAGTCATAAAAGAAGCAGGGTCACAAGGGCAGATGGCCTGTAGAACTATGGACCTTGACGCTGGTGGTCCTTGATTCCTCAGCGCCAACGATATCCCTTCTTCTCTAGGCGTACTATTCCTGCAATGTTGTGGATGTTTATTATTTCACACCATCACTTTTCTTGTTTCCATATCTTTGCAGAAGCTCAGGCCCTCTCCACTGGACTTGGGTTGCACTTTTGAGGAGCTGAAAACCGCCAGCAAGCCCCTTCAATCAGAAGTTCCACACAGCTGTGCCTTCTCCGGGCGTGACATCTCTGCAGAAAGCTCCTCTGGGTATTCAGCCGAGTGTGACTCTTTGGAAAACTATATAAGCCTTGGCAACTTTATCCGGGCAATGGAGCAGTTGAACTGGTGGCCCGGGGAGCTGAACGCCTCCGATAAGAAGGAAACGGCCCTAGCACTAGCGCTCGCAGACCAGATAGCCCACCCTAAACAGCGGCTAGCAGCGCGAAAGGTTTTGCCTCAGGGTATTACGAAGCGCGGCTTTGTCCTCGCCTTCGAATATCTGCCTTTTAACCTTCCTGAATGGCCAGTAGGTCTACACGTGATTTCCTGATCGGGTCCCCTACATTAGGCTTTGAGGTTTGGGCTTGGGACTATAGAGTCAAGAGTCCTTGGCTGCTGATACGTGTGTTTCAGTTGCCGCACGACCGGTTGCCACCTCCCGGCCGGTTGCCTAACACGAAGGACGGAGGTGGACCCCTCGCGTCCCCTCAGCTCTTCAGATCTCTGAGCGTCCCTATCATTGTCTCTCCCCGTCAACCCGTCTCTGAAGGTCATGCTTTGGCAGCTGCGAGAAGGACCCCAAAGGATGACACCGACGGGATGTCCTTTACGGTGAAGGAGGAGGCTGTGCTGCTCTGCCAGGCAGCCCTACTGCTTTGTTTGATTTTTGGGCTCGATATCTTCGTAGCGTTCCCAGGATTCAAGGTGCCCACCTCCTGCTATTCCACAGCGGCAGCTGCTGCGGTGAAGCCTAGCCAGAAAGATGGAGCAGCAACAGGAAAACACTCCTCAGCAGATGCAACCACCGCTGCAGAAAGGCTGCTTTCTGAATCCCCTCTCTTCCTAAAGGCTGGAGAGATGGAACCAACTGTGTATAACGCAACTCTCGACTCCCGCGCTGGCCATAGTATCAGGAACAGCAGTGGGCGAGGGCACTCCGTCATTCGTCAAAGCAGCTCCAACAGACGCCTGCAGCAGCAGCATTCTGCTCCGATATCCGAGCAATCAAACCCAATCCACGGTCGCAGAGCGTTAGTCCCAAGCTGGCACTTGGCACAGGTAAACCGTGGTGTTGTGAGGTCAACGGAGCGTTTGTAAGCATACTTACTTAGTGGAGCTGTTTATTAGAGTGCAAAGAGACCGAAGTCGCTGCATTGTTTGAGCTACCACCTTGTCTACAAGCACGCTGCCTCCATGAAGAGGCAATCGCGTGCTTTCGTAGAGCACTTGTTTCTAACTGTGCGTAAAATGGCGCTGTGTGCTTATTATGCGTTCTCAGGATTACCTACTGAGCCGATTAGTGTCTGTGGAAGAGCTGCAAGCAGCATTACCGTGTCTTCTATCCGCTGACTGGGTCTCTAGCGCCCTCTCTTTAGTTATTGGGACGGCCACCGCCGTGCTCTCTCCTGTAGAATGGTTATCGCTTTTGCGACCCTCCCTTGGGCCTCCAACGCCTTTGAATATCCAGGAAATCGTCGGAAGATACAACGCGATGTATCCTAAACCTGTGGCTCTCAAGGCCGCCCCATCCGTGGTCTTGGCTGTGCGTCAGCTCAAACAGCAGCAGCTACAGCAGAAGCAGAGGCAGCTGTTACAGCAGCAGCAACAGCAACAATTGAAGGAGCTTGAGGAGCCTTGGAGAGTTTCCTGCCCACCCAGTCGCATGGGCCTCCGTTGGAATTCTTTTAGCGCACCCCCCAAAGCACAGAAAAAGAAGCCCCAACAACAGCAGCAACCGCAGGCCGCAACCTCAAAAGAAAATCCTTTAGCCGTGGTTGCGTCTGCTGACGATGGTGGCGCGATGGGCAGCTTGTTAGGTTTGGGATGTACAGAGAAGGAGCAGCAAGAGTGGGCGCAACAGCAGGCAGCGCAGCACGTCCTACAGATGGCCAATAGTGAGAAGAGCACTAAAGCGCTCTCTCGATTATTGGCTGCTTCTGCCTCGGGAAGCGTTTGCAGTAGCAGCAAAGACGCGAAGGCCGTTGCTGCCGCTGGAGAGAGCTTCTGCTTGGATATTCTCGTGGTTCAGCAGTGTGTGGATACCTTTTACACACTATTTAAGGCGGCTGACATTTTCGGGGATCTCCACAAGCTCATCTAGACGAGAAAGCTAGAGGCCACTCCTGCACTGAGACAACAGAATGCAATCCTGCCCAAACGGACTCTACGCAAGCAGAGGAAGGGGCGGTCATGCACATGGTATTAACCGCTCGTTTGTATTACATTGATAGTGACTGGTGACTAGGACCTCTCCAGGAAGGGGGCACTCTGCACGAGACTTCCTCTATCCTCCTGATTCTGGAGATTTTATAGGGGCGACTGCCGATAGTATCTAGCGACAGTCAAGCGCGAAAGAGGCATCGCTGTAAAGCTGGTTGGGGGTCCCGTAATGACGCTCTAGCGGCCGCTTGAAAGCCAGCGCAATAACCATGTGTCCTGACTGCCTTTGCATGTTACCTGTCTCATTTCTAGCTTGTGGCTCTTAAATGCGCCGTACACCTGACTATTTAGATGCCATGCAATTGCCAAGTGAATTCCCAGCAATTAAAATTACCCACTGTTTTAGTGGCACCGTAGGAACCTGGGATGAAATATACAGCTGCTGCCGTAGCCAAGAGGACTCTTGCAGTCAGCTTTCACACTTAAAACACGCTTAAAAGCACGAAAATACGCTAAACTGAATACTTTAGTTGTCAATACTTTAGCCAACGTACCATCAACCGCAGCGCCAGCTCCAGCGGAGCGAGTCTCTGATGCGTCTATGACTCCACATGCATGTACTGGAGTATGTGAACTTTCCTCAGTGCCCGACTCATTACCAGTGGCAGCAGTGACTGTAAACCTACGTAACATGTAAATGTAGTGTCAAGGCATTTTGAAATTGCTTCTGCATTCGTCGCTGAGCACCAAAAGTGTCAGCGAACAGCCGCGATGGCCGTTGAGTGAGGTAGGCATGCATCCAGTGATTCATTGACACCTATGGTACGAGTATTATCACTTGCAGCCTCACGAATGTTCCTTGTCTCTGCAGGAGCGTCTCTTCTTCTTTGCTTCTCGAGCACCTGGACTTCACTCTCTTGGCAAATGAGGCAAGGAAGCTCGGATAGCCTACATCTGAACTCTTCAGCCTCGTCGGTAGGACTATACAAACTTTTTGCGCCCACATTGTAATCGCTGATAGTCTGGGGTCCTTAAAGCAGATGCGAGCATCCGGGTGCCTTTATTAGTGGGCCCTTACAGAGGTCAGTATGGCCTGTGCTGCTGCTTTTTTGGATGGCCCTGACTCTGGTAACCTTTGAGGATATAAAAAAGCGTAGAGTGCGTCAATATTTCGTAGAGGCATGTAAGCCTTTTGTCGCTACCCACAAACATTTGGCCTTCTGTTAGAGAGAAAGATCTAGTAAGATACAAGCTAGAATGCAAGCCGTATCGAAAACGGTCTTGGTGATGGGTAGACTGATAATGAGGGACTGCCATATGGCCTCGGTTTTGCTGCAAAAATAGCTCTATTGCTACCCGGATCGAGCTCTCACCCATGCGTATGATTGTAGTGGAGTCGTCAAGTACATCCATTCTTGCCGAAAGAACCCCCACCACATTGCACTGTTTTCTCCTTGCCTTCCCGTTTTACACCTCGTTGTGGTAGACTACTTTTGTGCCCACTCGTTAAGCTGCTTTTGCAGCTGCCGCTCTCCTCTCCCGTTTATGCTGCTCCAATCGGTGCTGTCCAACCAGCTTGGCACTCCACAAGTATCTACATCTGCTTATTTTGCATGGTGTCTTCGTTAGTTTGTCAGCTGTGTTGCTAGGAGGCCACCAACAAATAGCCACCAGAGCTTGTGCTTCTCTTGCTGCCTCCACGCCCAGGCTGGTAGCTTCTGCGTTTACCACAATGCATGCTATATCTGCATTTGGTAACAGCACAAAAGTTGCCCTGCTTTGTTGCTCTTGCTGCTGCTTTCGGTGCTGAAGCGGCTGGCTCGGAGACATACGCAGCCGCTGCACCACACTAAAAATTTGCAAACCTTGGGCAAAGAGTAACGAAGTGGAGCTGTGACTGTATCTTCTTTCGCGGATGTCGATGACTCTGGTGGTGATACGTTTCTACCTCTCTTGCTGCTCATGAGGTCCCCATTCATTTCCTATACATAGTGCCTCAAGCTGCCGTTCAAGATACCTATCAGGCTTCTTGACTCATTGCAAATTTGTCATGTGGTCGTGCTGCTGTATTGGCGTCTGCCATCCCTGTTTTCCCATCTGCGCCGTTGCATCTCGCCCTCTCTGAGCTCTGCTGCGCAACCCTGAGACATTGAATCTATTTATAGTTTTGTGCGCAGTCTACATTCCACCTTCAGGTGAGACTTCCGCGCTACCGTAAAGCTTCTTTCAGGCTCTGTGTGCGTACATGCGAGCGAGCATTGGGGTGATGTATTGCTTAAACATGCCAAGGCATTTGTGTCATTGATAGTGCTGTGTGGATTCCCTCTTAATTCCATTCCGAGAGTTGCGACTCATGCCGCTCTCGCCGGTGCTACTGCTGTACATTTTATCGCGAGAAGCATTAAATTTCTTATCTTCTGGTGCTGCAGCTGCGATTCTTCCAGATACTGAAAAGCCAGATTCTGCAAGTGTCGCATTCGCACCTCAGTTCAGTTGCCACTGCATCGTGGCGTTTCGCTCCACTGCCCCCCTTTCTTATGCAGTCCCCCGTAAGGTTGCTGCTGCTACTTCTGCTTCGGCCCCTGCCGTTGGTGCTGCTACTCCTATGTTAGGTAGCACCGGGTGCAAGAGACGCAAGTCCGGCCAGTCATCCGGCTAAAACCATGGCAGCTAGGCAGTGGTGACCGCATCCCCATCGGGGGCTTTAGCAGCAGCACTATGAGATACGAGTGCAGGAAGCGGATGCAGGACCACCTCGAAAAGGTCAGTAAAAATCGACCCTAGCTCACAGGAACCTGTTTCGGCTCCTCCTGCATCGCCTGCTCGAGCTTTGAATTCAAAGTGTTGCGATGATTCAGGGATTTCTCTTGCTATTTTTGACAATCCCCGCTATGCCCTTCACGAGCCGATTGAATACACTGGAGCATCTTTTCGTAAAATTCGCGCTGCAGCCTGTGACTGAAGCGAGAAGGCGTTAAGGGTTCCTCTGTTTGATCCTCGTCTACGCTCTGGCAGCTTGGAGTGGGGGAGAAGCTGTTGCCGATTGCACTATCTGTAATCATGAGCCCCCCTTGTTCCGTCTCCTCTAGATGCTGAAGCTGCTGCCCTTCCCAGTTGAGCCGCTGCCCGTCCTGCTGTGTTGAGTAGGGCGGTGGGCCGATGGCAGGACATAGAGAGCGATACAGTTGCTGCTGAGAGCCTGATGGCTGTTGGAAATTATGAGAGTGCCTGGAGAGTGGGTTAGCCGCTTTCCGAGTGATATCCGCAGGAGCTGTAACTTGCTGAAAGCCGTGTTGGTGGAGTTCTGACCACGTACTTGGCTGCTCCTGTTGGTGCTGAGTCTGCTGTCCTTCCGCTTGATACTGGTGATGCCACTGCTGAGTGTGCTTGTGCCATTGCTGCTGGCGTTTCTGCAACGCATTATGCTGTTGCTTATTCTGCTGCTGTTGCTTTAGCCCCCCTGATTGAGCGGCTACACTCTTCACAGGCCTCTCCCAGATGCGCTGGAGCTCCCCCAAGACTGTCTGACCCTCCGCCTGCTCGAGTGGATGCTGTGGCTGCAGTTGCTGTTTCTGCCACAAGTGAGAGTTTAGCGCCTGCTGCCGATTTTCAGCATACTGGTATTGTGGCTGTCCTATTCTCGCGAGCTGTCGTTCCTTCTGGTGTGGCTGCTGTTGCACCGAAATGGGTTGTCGCTGCTCTACGCTTGCTTGTTGGTGCTGCGGCGCCATCCCTTTCTGCGGCTGCGATTGCTGATGCTGCGGCAGCTGCATTTGGTGCTGCCACTGCAAGTCGCGCGTATACTCTACCTGCCGTTGCTGCGCCATGGGCAGTCCGTACTGCTCCGCTGGGTAAGTTGGAAGTCGCAAGTGTCCTGCAGAGACAAAAGAAGCACGTTGCAACTCGCGATCTTGCAAATTTTCTTGAAGGTTTCCCCCCACTGTTCACAAACGGCGCTACACTCGTAGAGGCATAAAGAAAGATAGAGGCTACAGCCTCTTTCGAAGAGTTGTGGAAAAAAAATTTGGAAGTGAAGGGATAGGAAGTAGGAACCCTAGTGGCCAAGTTATATCATGCGAAACATTGGGATTCAGTTCGGAAACGCTGTTTATCTTGGAGAGAATAGACGCTCGCTCACTGGTAGGCACCACTTCTTTTTCAGTTAAAGACAATGTTTCTGCGCACCAGTGGAGCTGTGTATACGCTCTAGAAAATAGGCACAATCCTGCTTGTATCCGTTCGTGCGAGCGTATTGGTGTGTCTGGGTTCGCGTAGTTCTGGAAGGGTCCCGTGAAGCCTCGAAAGCTGCTGTACGGCATCCTTGCTGAGAAGAATCGACGTGAGAGGGGACGATGGCAACAGAATAACGAACAGATGGAGAGTTAAACACTATGAAAGGCTAAGGTGTCCCGTGCAGGAGCTAATACCTCTAAGGAGCTGCGGTATGCTCCAGTGCAGCAGCAAGCAGATTTGTTCCGCGGCTGCTGAGGGTTTACACGGTATGGCTGCACAGGCCGAATTCAATGAGAGAGACTAACATAAATGATGCTGTGGCAGTGCGATCAACAAAGAGAGCACCGGGAGCGAAAGGGCCGAAGACCATCGCTACAAGTCCAGGCGACAATCCGTCACGGAGTGGAGAGGGAAAGAATGGAACGAGAGGATAATTGATAACTACTTTTTTAAAAAGCTATCCGATATAGATGGGATGGAAATTCCAGTGCTGTCAGTTGCCTTTTGCTGCCTTCGCGGAAATCACGCGCAGCCTAGGCAAGCTCGGTCGGCACGCTGGGCTGGACAGCCTGCTGCCGACAGCCGTGTCTGCAAAACTACGGACGGGGCAGAGTGCAGCACATAAAAAGGCAACTACAAGCCAGAATAGCCCTTAGCAATTTGAGTTACACCGAAAAATACAACTAGACGATCAACGGCAAGGAGATTTGCAATCCCTTTAGATCTGTATATGCACCTGGGCCTAAATGTCTCTGACCAGCGGCGTAGCATAACACCGAGCTCCTGAATTAAAAAGCTTCTTTCTCGACACCCCACGGCCACATGTAGTATAGACTTTGTGTTTTAATGCAAAAGAAAAACTTTCAGGTGCATCTGCTACCAATAACAAGCCTAGGGGCCCCGAAGGTGCTACCAAGCATTCCACTGGCTTGTCCACTGGTCTCACTCCGTCCAAAGCCACACAAAGGCTGGCATGGCCCATCGAAAGTGATTGCTTTTAAAAGGCATTACAAGAGTTTTTGCACTACATCACGTGCAATTGAATTTTTTGGCGCTTCGAGGGCGTGCAGCGCAGGAACTCAACTACTTGGCTAGCCGCGATAATGTGGGGGCAGAGCATCCTTGTTGGATAGAGGTGATGCAGAGCAGCTGCTACCAGTCGGTTGAATCTTCACTGACCAATACTGTCTTAGGAGCTCTAATTACGGCGGATGAGGACCCCACGTCAAGGGCGCCAAGCGCAACCAGTCCGGATTATCCCTAGAATGCAGGAGATCGAACGGACAGAAAGCTACATACGATAAGAAGTTGCCTCCAGAGATTCCGCTTCAGACTCTTCTCCTTAATCAGATGCATCTAAGTGATCCCTAGCTACAGTGAGATGCGAGGCATTGGCCTTCAGCCTTTAGCTAGCATTTCTGGGCCCCACGCCGGCATCTACAATATTTCACCTGTGCAATTACTTCTACGACCGAAGCCTTCGTATAAGGCTGTCGGCAGAGAGCTTTTTCCTCTCTTTGATTAAAACCATTTCCTGCAGCCGCGTCCAGCCAGTTCCCGCAGCTGGCCTGCTGTGTCAACTTGCTACTACTACGTGCAAGAGCACCCCACCCCTGTTGGAAACCGTCCAAGGTGTTTGTAACTTTCTAGAAAGTGACGTTTGTATGTGAATGCAACTGGTCCACGGAAATGGGAGGTTGCGCCTAGCTGAGGCACTAGAAGAGCCAGCCATTACGAGTAAGCGTGTCAACTGAGTACAACTGGAAGAAAGGGCTCCTCGTAGGAGTTTTGATTCCAGTGGTCCCGTTGACATTCATTTCTGGTCATACGGTTCTGAGCAGAAGTGCAACTTCTACGGCGTCTTCGCTATTTATTTGGCGCTCTAGAGATAGCTAGCCTCAACAGAGGCAGGTCGGTGGGGCTGCCCCGCAGCTTGGATTGATCACAAACGAGACAGTTAAGGGCTGCAGAGAGAGCCCATATGGTCCGTTGCTGATAAAGCAGCACTTAAAAAGCCACAGAAATAGAATGACGTCTAGGTGACAAGCACAGCACCAGCAGATGAAGCCATGCATCAGGCCAATAAGTACTGCTACTACTGCTGCTGCCCCTTTTGCTGCACCTTGGAGTAGAGTGTAAGGCTCCTCTTGAGAAAGCACTTAAACGCCGCTACGCTAAAGGACCATGAAGGCAGTCAAGAGGCCTCATCTTCTTTCCCAGCAGCAGCAGTGCCAGCAATAGCAAGACGCCTGCAGGGAAAACGTTTTCGATTCGTATTATGTCTCTCCCTTGGCTACTCCTGTGTTCATGGCTGAATTAAATCTGTGACACCGTCTTCAGAGGGTCTATGCTGGATCTACTGGAGCTCTCTTGCGAGCTGGACTGCCCGCTCAGCTGCGCCATCAAAGTCGTTCACCGCCTCTACCTGTAGGCCCTTCGCCTCAGGGTCCTGCAGGGCGCCGCGTAGCAGCTCTTCGGCTTGCGCCTTATTAGTTCCTTCAAGCCTAATCTGAGAAGACGCAAGATGCACGCGCACCGGAAGTCATTTGAAAGATGGAGACGGTGGAGAGGAGGAGGCAACAACAGCACAGAGAGCGATGCATGGAGAAGAGGACAGGAGCTAACGGCTGCGCAAGGGTGTACACCAAAAATGTAATAGACACTGCAACGCAAATTCACGTAAGTATGCAAGCCCTTCACATTCACGCACAAATAGATAAGCTGTAGGCGCTAGATGGAAAACGAATAAAGTGCAGGTATGCTTTATGATCCTGAAGCCACAGGAACCATCGCCTCTCCGAGTAGCCTCTCTCATTCATATGCAAAGCGAAAACAATATCACATCCCCCCGAAAGGCAACACATACAAAACAAGTAACCTACACTACGCAGCAGGAACAACAGCAGCAGCCATACGGACCACCAGAGGCTTCGTGAATCCGAGATGTTTGATGGCTTTGATGAGACCTTGTGCGATAATGTCGCATCGCATGATGCCGCCAAAGATGTTGACCAGCACCGCTTTAGCATCAGGGTCGTTTTGAATAATATTCAGGGCCTGAACGATCTGTTGCTCCTCCGCGCTACCGCCCACATCCAAGAAGTTGGCAGGCGATCCCCCCTTTAGCTGGATAAGATCCATAGTAGCCATCGCTAGACCGGCACCATTCACCATGCACCCTATCTGTCCGTCAAGCTTGATGTAATTCAAATTGTACTTTTCTGCTTCAAGTTCACCTGAGTTCTCTTGCGATGTGTCTCGCTGCTCAAAAAGCGCCTTTTGCCGGAACTGTGCATTGTCATCAAAGTTGAGCTTTGCGTCCGCAACCCTCAAAGAGCCTTCCTCAGTTTCCACAAGGGGGTTGACTTCCACGAGGAGACAGTCCTTCGCAGCAAACAAGGCGTGGAGACCACGCACTAGAGAATATAGTTCCTCACGCTGAGATTCGGAGGTGAGACCCATCGAATCAACGAAGCGCGCCAGGGCCGCATAATCTATGCCTGATAAGAAGAGACAAAATAATGATTTGCAACAAGCTGACGCAGGCGCTGATGCATTGAGAAGTGGAGGAACGCAAGCATAGAGGGGCGAGGTGATAGATGACGCGCTTATATATCGGAACCATTAGAGGCACAGTCAATGGGTGTAGGGGAGGCAACGCGAGGTGAAGCTCAGCGGAAGGGGAGAGAGGCGGGAATAACAGAGCAGGACGACTCAAGAGCAGGAGAGAAGCGGCGTGTGTATGTGCGCTTGCCTTTGACGAGATCTATTGGCATCTTGATGATCGCCTCCGGATGCTCCTTTGCAATGTCTTCAATGCTTGTGCCGCCAATGGAGCTACACAGGAGCCACAAAGAGCCAAGCCAAGAGCACCATCCAAACAGCTCTTTTGTTTGCAAGACGAAGGAAATCAGGCTTTCAAACTGGATTTTCGAGCTTAGGGGGAGCCTTTCGCGCAATCAAACGGTCAAACCCAATGCATGCAGTCCATACGCGCTCCTTGCAGTAACCTCGTCTCACCTGCCAATTAGCATGGGACCCCCAGACGTTCTGTCAAGAAGCATAGCCAGGTACATTTCGCGCTTCACCTTGAACTGCTCACAGACCAGAACCACGTTGCAGGGCTTCCCTGTGGCCCCAGTTTGTTTTGTAACGAGCGTATGGCCCAGCATGTTCTTAGCGACCTCTTTGGCGTCCTCTGCCGTCTGACAGCTGTGCACTCCGCCCTTAAAGCCATTCTCCGCGAAGTGACCCAAGCCTCGGCCCCCCGCCAACACTTGAGCCTTCACGATTACCGGACGCCCCGGGTTTTGCTGCTGCAGTTGCTCAGCCGCGGCAAATACTTCTTCCGGTGTATGTGCAGCGCTGAAGGATGGAGTTTGGATCTGGAACTGCTGCAGCAAATGCATTGATTGATACTCGTGAAGATTCAGGTACCGCTGCTGCTGCAGACACACCCCAGCTGCCCGGTGGCCTGCGCCTAGGGCCCCCAAGGAAGGGGATCCCCAGCGGCGGGCCCTCAAAAAGGACCCGCCACCACCAACCAGACGGATAAGTGGCTGCATTTGCGTGAAAATACTACGAAACAGGAGGAGAGACACCCGGATTCCTAGGCAGGAAGGGCGCTCTGTGTACTGGAGGTGGCTTTGGGGTGTCTCTTGCAGGCAGGGCCAGTATCCTCTTTCACTCCTAATGCAAAGGGGATTCTAAACGAGAACGAACCTAAAAGGAGCTTAAAGAGAGATACACATGCAACAGGCCGGAGCGCCGCATGGGATCCGGCCCCATCAAGCCCCAAACCAGGAAGCAGCCATCGGCAGTCGCCAGCGCCCCAAACATCCCCGCTATTCCCTCACTTCATGCTGACTGATGATGGGGCCTCTATTTCCACGGGAGAGAACTGGCATGCAGGGTCAAAAAGCCCTGGTCTTGCTTGGGCCAGAATGAAGCATGCTAGCTGTGGGGACTCATAAAGTGTAACTGCAGCTAGTATGCGCGGACGGGGCCCTCTCACAACCCCTTTTCCACTGATGTCCTCGTGTGTCTCGCCCTCTTTCGGATGCCACGCTGTCTCTCCACACGCCCCACGGAGGGCTACTTTCCGGCTACAGGGCAGGAGACGCATATACAACGACATGGTACTGGAAGGAGTAGTGGGCTAAGCTGCACTTAAACATTTTCTACCACACCAGTTATTTTGATAAAGAATTTAAAAAGAATAGACAACTTGGTCTGCGTGTCCGAACATCCTATTTATAGCAGAGTGCTGTTTGATCGATACAGGAAGATGCGATGCTGTGGGCTTGTGCACTACATGATATCTGCAACGAGTTGGAAATGCGTCGAGTGCTTGCACGGTACATCCAAGCTTACCCTCTCACCCGCTCACCCCTCGTGTCGGTAACTCGTAGCGCCACTGGCAGGGGAAGGAGAAAATATTCTCAGAAACACCAAACGAATTTCTATTTTGCTCATCTTGAGTATGGAGTTGTCTTTCCACGAAGGACCTAGAGAGGGTACTACTCGTGGACTGGTTGAGGTCAGGGGTCCAGTCGGAAGGCTGTGCTCTACTAAAGTTAGCTACTACGGAGGGTGTTACTATGCTTATATAGAGCTGCACCGCTGCGGAGGAACGCTGCTGTCGGAACCTGTCCAGCAGCAAAAGCCGATAGCTGGTGGAAATATTCAGCTACTCGATGTGGTACAACAAAAGTGACTTGGGCCGCATCAGAAAACATTCCACCAGTAGAGTAACACTAACCAGTAAACGGGTTGAAGGACATCCCATAGTGCGTTCAAGACAGGCAGCAACTAAGGGGAAAAGGCGCTTCTGCATAGGTGGATGCTCGTACTGTGTGAGACAATAGCAACGCAATGTTTTCCATAGACACTCAGAAGCTCACCGTCACTTAAACAGACATTTAACAGCGAACATCTATAAAAATGTCTGGATTTACATTTTCTATCTAGAAAGCCCTATTTATGCACGTATCGTTACCCGACTGGCAGATCCCTTCCTGTCCTTGATTCTACGGAGATGAAAAACGGACTGGAGTTGCCTGAATTGAAGTGACTCTCAATTTACGTTGCTTCTCATATTTTTGTGAATAGTTTATACTGTTCTGTAGCAATCCCAGTATTTGTGGTTCCTGGTGAACCCCTTGACCAGGCGCGTTTGTGGGCAGTCCATTCAGTTCGTGCGTTATCAGATCGTGCAATTTTTAGAAGCTACTACACCTCTCTGTCAATAACAGTGTGGCAATGGATTTCATTCTCTTCATCTGTGCAACTTAGTGAGAATGTTTGCACCTACTAGCCCCTCGTCCTTCCGTGGCCATGTAGCGAAAAGAATTTCCAGAAGTTGTGTATTCGTACATCTTATTTTCGCTATACGTTTGTTAGCAGCGTTGTGTGGCTGTGCGCTAGATGCTGTCTGTAAGCAACCGTGAGTTATAGGAGTGCCTAGGGGGTGTTGCTACGCGTATCCCAGCTATCCGTCTCCACTCATGTGCCGAAAATCGGACTCACACGGGCAGGAAAAGGCGCAATGTCCTTAGGAAAGCACTGAACGGCTTTTCGAAAGGTCGTCTTTAGTCTGGAGCTAAGTGTCGTGCAACAGCAGATGGAGCGTTGAATTGGTAGGCCCGCATGCTTCGACACAACAATTCCCCACCTAGCTATCGACTGTGGATGGAGTGGATTGTCGGGTTTCCCTAAGACGCCTGCTTGATTTTGAGCAGATCATTTGGTAATTCAGCAATCTACCCTTTTTATGACAACAAATTCAGGGGAAAAGGCAGACAATGGTCATGGGCGGTAACTTGCCACAGCGCCTGTTGGGAGGGTAGACGCCGGCCTGAAACCTGATGTGGACCCATCAGCTCTTCACATGGTAACCACGACGCTGTGTAAGCCGATCGGATGATTATGGCCCTGTTAATTAGGCCATTCCCAGAAAAGTACGACGAACATTCGGGTGGGCAATACTGGAAGATTTCTTCAGTCAGGTTGGTGATGTACCTCGTTTCGTACCCGGTGGACAAGAAAAACTTGGTCAGTTCTCCCTGCGGCTTGTTTGCTGCATGGAGAAACACTTCAATCATAATTTTTTCCCAAACAGAGGAAAACACTTGATTGCACCTATTAGTAGAACTCAGGCTTCTGTATGAGCCCTGAACAATCGTTACTTTGAGGAGAGTAAAACATACGCAAGGCTTCGGAGAGCTGAGAAAGCTGATGCAGAACAATCTACCAGTATATAAAGGAATACGGACATATGAATAGCCACACTCACAAGATATACGAACAGCTTCTTTATCCAGGGTATACCTCAGGTCTACCAGTAGTGTCATTTAAAGTGGTAGGACGGTGGGCAAATACTTAGCGGTTAAACAGCCCACTGGTGGGGTTATATCAAATGAAGGACTGATTGAGGTATGCTGGACAAAGCAGCACAACTCCTACACCTTTGACTGAAATGTAGGAGTTTTATCGGACGTAGAGTTTATGGAGTTTGGGGAGTTGTGAACAGGCCTACTCTACAATCCTGGGTAATTGCAAAACGAAAGCCAGAAGAAACCCTGCTTTCAGGCATCCCGATAGGGCCCCCAATAACGCAGCTGCTCCTATTCTGTAGCAAATTATTTCATATAGTTCGGAAATGAAAATGCATGCAAGAGGGCAAAAGGTTCGAAAAACCGAAGTCGTCCGAGAGGAAGTAGGCTGTTTGCCAGCCAGAAAGGGAGATTCACGCCAACGGAACGCTTCCCATACAGGCTGCGGAGCAGTGAAGGGGACCACAAGGGGTAGTACCGCAGACGAAATTTAGGCATGGATCAAGTCACCGCTTATTCAATCTCACATTAGTGGTTAAGAACTCCTGCCGTGACTCGACGCTGGATAAGAAGCGCATCATCTGTAACCTGGGGAAAAGGCGCAGCAGTGTAATCTGCCTGTTCACTCTTCAATGCAAACACTGGTACTCCGGTATGCTGACGAACGACAGAACGCAGGGGCTGGCAGGTCTGTGGTAGCTTAGTGCATTTTCGAATTGATGCGTTTCCCAGCATCATCCGTAGTTTCTATGTTGGAC